GACTGAAAGGAGTCGTGATAACAGTTTGCTCGATATCTTCAAAAGTGGCTGGCATTTGATAATATGCTCGTACTAGATCAATCTTAGAATAGATAGTCGTGCCCTTAAGAGGTGCCGTGATGTCGTGTATGTGGGGGATGAGATAGCTATCGAAAAGTGTTACTATGTTTAATGCTCGGTAGTCACTACACGGTCGCCAACTTATCCCATCCTTTTTGCGAACCATGTGGAGTTGTGAGGCCCAAAGACTGTGACCTGTAGTTAGTAAATTCTCAAACTCACGTTTAGTGAAATCTAATTTGTCCGGTGCAAGTCGATGAGATCGTGCTGTGAATGGTGGTCCGCGGGTGACGATGTGGTGTACCACATGATGAGTCACCGATAGATTCTCCTTGAGTGGTTTAGTTAGCTGGGGAAATTTTTTGAATAAAGCCTGGAAAATGTCATCACGCGAATGAAATACCCCTGTAATTCGGTGAGCTCTAAAGCCAATAAATTTTCTATTTGACGAAGTGTTGATTAGCTGCAGCCTACGTGAATCGACTAGCAATTCATGGTGCTGTAGGAAATCGATACTGAGTGTAGCTGTGGGAACATCAGCAGTGATGAACGTTCACAGATACTGTCATCGGTTGCCCAGGTTGACCGTTATCTGTCGTGTACCATAGATAGGAATGGCAGAGCCATTCGCAGCGCGTAGTCGAAGCATCACAGGTTGAGACGTGCTGCTACCAAGTGGTACGATAGAAACTTGGGCACCTGTGTCGACGAGGTACCTAGCGTCAATGCGGATATCGTGCACGTAAAATTGGCGGTAAACCTGAGGTGAGGGGCCGAAGAGTACGGCTGCGTTTACTCGTCGACTTGGAATTTTCCCACCTTGTATGACCATGGGGCTCGACAATGACGGGTGCCAGACCTAAAAGTCTGGCGGGACCAACACCAGCCGTTACCCGCTTCCGAAGCCGCCCTTTGGCGTGGCTTGGAAGATGGCCGCTGGGGGCAGGTACTTGTCAGTACTTAACTCCTGTCCGGCAATGGATTTAACTTGGTTATTTCATGGTACATAGCTGCAATTCGCTATGAGCTAATCGTGCTAGAGGGATCAAATTAAATTGTAAACAAAATCTAGGTAAAACTAAACTGAACATATTAAGACTATACTTTCTAGAAAGGCAAAGACGTAAATTATAAAAGTAACCTTTATAACTAGTTTATTACAAAAGACAAAACATTTCTGTTGATCAAGTAACGATATTCTGCCCAAAGGAAAAAAACGCCAATTGTATTTGCCGCATAGATGAGTGAATAGCTGTAAAATAGGAATTGTACAAGAAGTTAACAAGCAATCAACAGTAAAGGTTCCTAGAAAACATGAAACACCCTTCAATCACCACCAGTGTTTTTCTTAATTTTTGCTCCGTTTGGGAGCTGGTTTGTTCCCTACCACAGAACGTTAATCTTAGTGATGTCTGTTGTCTTCATCTAAACTTGTTGCTGTGTATGAGACTGAAGGGCCAAATCATCTGCAAAGTCTGAATCGATCAGTTGAATTTCAGCTGTTCAGCGTATTCTGTGCTTTCAATGCGATGTTGATGTCTTCATAATCCAGCAGACCACAAATAGAAAGGTGAAAGGAATACTGTAAGCGACATTGTCAGACATTGGTTTTTACTTGGAACGAAGCTGTGAGCTACCCTCCATGCACGATTTTGCAGTGAAGTCGGCCGTAATAATCCGATGTACTGTTGACTATCTTCTCAAATACACAGCAGTATCTAAGAGGCCTATATGTTGTCATCATGTTCACGCTATCATATGCTCTCCGGTATTCAGGTATTCGATGTAAAGTAATTAATTCCATTCAATTGATTGTTCCACAATATCTGTCGTGTCGTGATTTGGTGGGTACGTTATCGGTCCTTACAGAATCCAGCCTGCTGATATGAAAGTCAGGTGTCTTCTGAATAGTTCATGTAGGATTTAATTTGTCCAACAGATGTAATTCTAGAACATTAAACGCAATAATGGAGAGCACAGAGTCTATGGGAAAGCTATAGTAAGTATGAAATCAACTTGGTTTTAAACTTTATCTGTTTCTAAACATAAAAACAATTACATTAGTATAATGAATAAGGAAATTACAATTATCAAGTAAGACGAGCAAACATACCGACCAATATAGCGTGTATTATGGAAACGAGTACAGTTATGTGTCACATCAATATAATAAGATAATAATGTCAATCACCGTGTAGGCCATTTACAACAATGGAAGTTTACAGGCACGTCAGATCGGATCACGTGGTGGGCGTTTAAACAACAATTTGACTGGTTAGTTATGACATAACTACAATTAGTTATGGAAATAACTAACAGTTCACTTCGTTCAAAAACACTCTTATGAAAACCTTAAGTGATAGTGAAAACAGAGTGATGCCTATTTTATTCTCAAAATTACTAAAATTTCTTTAGTATCTTGCTCGTTGTTTAAACTCTTCGCCATTAAAGCTTTCATAGTGTTTCAGTAGACAGCCTTGTCTAGGATTCTAGAACATCAAACGAATGATGTTTGGTAGATCAAAATTCGACATTCATAACTAGAATGAATCACTAATAATTCGTTCTTAATTTACAAATGTTCAGGATATGGGGGACGTTATATCCACAGAACTCACTTCATTAGGCTCCTAATTTCGGATTTTATGCTTTCACGAATAGGCTTATCAGTTGACCTTGAGATTATATTTCTCCCCCGGACATGACTATCACTGGTTGATGTACTGTTTTAGCACACCGTTTTTATGGCTCTCCCAAGGACGTTTATATCATGTTTAAATAAACTCGATTTGTGTGCTTGTCGACCTCATATATTCTTGGTGCTTGTGGAATACTTTTTCTACGCCATATCAAGAGTTCTTCCAATAGTTAGCAGGGCCGAGAACAATCGGATCGAAATAGCCTATCCTGTCACTGGATCATTTGACTTCGCTCTCGTGTACCGATTAAGGTGAACTCGTAATAGTTTCAAGTATATCATTTGGTGTCTGTGGCTTCGGAAACATGGATCTTTCCAGACTTTGAGTTCCAGATATTTTTTCAGTTGTAGAGATACAGCCCCTGCTTTGCCAATCCGCGCCTTTACATCTGCATCGGACCCACTTTGACTGTCAATGATGCTAGCCATATATGTAAAGGCATCTCCACGAAGAGTGACTTGGTTGTCGCATGTGATGTTGTATCGGAGAATCTTGATCTTCCCTTTGTGCTTGTTGAGACCTTTTGTTGCTGAGGCTGCTGCTACACTGGTCGTCTTCTCTTGCATCCGCAGTTGCGTATGCGACAGAAGAGCCAGATCATCTGCGTAGTCCACATCGTCCAGTTGCATCCTACCTGTCGATTGTATACTGTGCTTCACTCCAGATGATGATATCTTCATAATCCAGTCGACCACCAGGAAAAAGAGAAAGGGTGAGAGTAAGCAACCTTACCTGAAACCGGTCTTCACCAGCAACGAGTCTGTCAGCTGTCGTTCGTAGTGTCGAGAATGTCTTCATAGTGTTGTCCGATCGAATGCTTTCTCGTAGTCAATGAAGTTAATGAAGTGCTGAGTTCCATTCAACTGATTGTTCCACAATGATCCATTATATTGCAAATTGGTCAGTACACGATCGATCCTTAAGAAATCCAGTCTGTTGATGTGGAATTTGGGGGTGTACGAAGCCCTTCATTCTATTTAACCATACTCTGTTGAATACTTAGCCTGATATTGAGAGAAGAGTGATGTCTCTGTAGTTCTTACACTTGCCGATATCGCCTTTTTGTGGTAATCTGCTGAGGTATCCTTCCTCCAGTCTATTGGTACTTGTTTTTCATACCGATTGTTTTTGAAGAGAATGTGTGTTAGTTATCTCCATAACTAATTGTAGTTATGTCATAACTAACCAGTCAAATTGTTGTTTAAACGCCCACCACGTGATCCGATCTGACGTGCCTGTAAACTTCCATTGTTGTAAATGGCCTACACGGTGATTGACATTATTATCTTATTATATTGATGTGACACATAACTGTACTCGTTTCCATAATACACGCTATATTGGTCGGTATGTTTGCTCGTCTTACTTGATAATTGTAATTTCCTTATTCATTATACTAATGTAATTGTTTTTATGTTTAGAAACAGATAAAGTTTAAAACCAAGTTGATTTCATACTTACTATAGCTTTCCCATAGACTCTGTGCTCTCCATTATTGCGTTTAATGTTCTAGAATTACATCTGTTGGACAAATTAAATACTACAATGTGCTTCTGTGTATTCAGCGAGTGCCGGGGCAAGGAGGATCTTCTGACTCCCAGTTTACAGTTTAAATGGTCTGAGATGAGTTTTCTGGTTAGCGTACTTTTAGCGATTTGGGTTTCGACGAGATGGGTTTACTAACCCCATGCTTAAGCCTCCACCTTCATCTGGGCTTGAGATTGGCCGTAAGCAAAGAAGACCCACAGGCGGAATTATGAGTAATTAAATCGATGGCTGTTGATGATTCGAATATTTGTGATACCTATATACAATTTTAATCAAGTAGGTCAACGCGTCAAGTGTAATGTTGTTATAATTTCAAGTACTGTTTTATTTTCCTTAGTTACAATCAACAAGTTAATATGATAATCAGCAAGAATTGAAATGTGAATAATCTGTAAAAGTGACTGTTTTTGCAATTGTCTGTGACATATAATCTCACATGCTAAGAATTATATATACTCATTCAAATATGTTCAGATTACTTCGGCTTAGTTAGTATATTACTTAGTTGACTAATGTAGAGAAATGTCAGCATTTCAATTCTATCTTAAAAACAACTGATCAAAGGATGTAACTGATCCGGATTCAATCCCATAAGTATTTGCTAGTGAGTAATAACGAGTAGTCACAAAACTGAAAAGCGTAATCGAACTAGCTTTCTTTTTCTAATAAACTTACAAATAAGAAGTATTCGAATTACCTCTTTGCGTGATCCCATATTTCAACTGTCCAATCGACTAAAAATGTAATAAATATATCAGGATGAAAACTACACCAAGCCACACGATAAACAGCTATATGATGAGCTTCATAAGTGGTTAAATAGTGAGGTTTATATGTTTTGCTACATTTAAACACCATTCCTTCTTCTGTTACTACAAGGAATAAATGATTCTGTATACGATTCAAATCAAATGCAGTACCGAAATCTGAGAATGAACTGAATTGACAATATAAAGTAACACGAGACATGATTGTTAAAGTTGAAGTTTTAAAAAAATTACCTTATTGACTGTAATAGCGGAATTTTATTCAAACATAACTCCAGTGATAATAAAAATCATGGGTAATAACTTTAAAATATTGTATCCTTGAGAATCAGCCACTAAGTGAGCGAATTTCTGGCCTATGGACTCATTTATATGCGTGGAGTTTACAAGTTTCATAGCAGCTGTTTTAAAAGTTCTTTTCTGGATTCTCATGGTAAAACTTTTAAGACGTTTTGCTACTCAAACAATCTCTCATTGAAAATGTACTATTTTAGTTCCGATCAAAACTCTTAATCTGTGAGTTTTTCGCTATTCTGCGCAAGACTTTCTCAAGTAAAATATGTAAAATACTGATATTTTTTACTGATATACTTATTAATAAAATGCTTCTACCATAATGTTCAAATACTCTCATATTAGATGGTTGCTGTTTGCTTTACCTTTGAACGTCTGGTTACTCTTAGAATATGTCAGTAGTATAACTGGAAATACTAAATATTTTAGTATAGCCAAATATTTAAACTCCCCTAAAGTATTCGATCGAGTTCGCTCAATATTTTCCTTAGAATTCAGTATCACTTTTAGTAGCGCTGCATCTAGTTTACCCATATTATCCTAGAATTTAGAATCACTGCAAGAAGAAAAAGATAACAAACAAGAATGACGAAAACGTTTTGTAAAGACGACTAAGCAAATTTACCATCTAAACTAATGAAGTTTAATGATCTGCATTCCTTACCTAGCACCCGTTTCCTAAAAACAGTATTGCCAAATCAGTTGTCCCAGGATACACGAGCAATGCTTCGGAGACACTTATGATCGAAAACCAGCAACCTACGAATATCTTCTATTCTGACCGGCCATGTTTCGCAGCAAACTGCTATGCAGTAGACTCGTTCTTTGATTAGCAAACTGATTTCTCGAGTATGCCATAAGTGACGCACGTTGAAAAACGTCGGTATCCGCGTTGAGATTTCGTCAGGCACCTGGCCATCAGCACTGATCAGACTCACAATTTAGGTGAACCAGTCGACGCGCTCAACCACTTCGCTTATAATGACAGAAAGCCATAATCTCTAACTCGACCAGTAGTGTTCGAGTAGAGAGCTTGTATAAGGTTAATGTACTCCTTTGGCACACCTTTCAATGACAGACACTGCCACAGAACATCATGATCAACAGAGTCAAATGCCGCCCTAAGTTCCAGGAAGACACCTATTGTAGGACGTCTAAATGTGTGTCTATGTTCCAGGACCTATCGTAGTGTGAATATGTGGTCTATACAGTCATGTCCAGGTCTGAAACTAGCCTAGTTTTCTCGAGTGTGCTTTTCACGAATACCAGTGAGGCGTTCAAGTGTTATATAGGCTAAAAGTTTAGAAACTATATTAAACTGATTGCTCTGTGGTTATCATAAGAGGATTCTTGCCTCTTCATATAAATTGGGATAATCAGGGATTGAAATCAGTCGGATGGGATTACGTCCAGTTCCCAAATTATACCTAAGATCTCAGTCAATCTAACTGTTAAAACTGGACCACAAGCCTCAAAAATCTCAGGGGTAAATCTATCAGGACTCACTGCTCTTCCTCTCTTCAGATTTCCTATAGCTATCTCAACTTCACAAAGACTCGAAGGACTTACATCGATTCGCCATTCAGGTTGACTGGAGATCGTGGGCAACTGAAGTGTGGCTGAAGGCCAGCTGAACTGATCCCTGGGTTGTTCTGCGCATCGATCCGATCTGCAGGATTGAGAATGAATAATAGTTTCATCCTTTTCCAAGATAGTATCACTTACAGACGAATCCCTAATACCGGTATCCTTGATGAGTCTGAATAGTAGTCTACCGTTGCCTGTCTCCGTTCTATCGAGTCCGACATACAACAGCTCGATAATAGTAGAGTAATCTCGACCGTCGTAATATCAACTACCATTGGCCCGGCGCACACAGACTAACATCAACAAATTACTTGCCAACCAATACAAATATGTGAGTTTTCCATTTGTTTGAACAGGTTTTCCAACGGGCACTGTGACATTGACTGACGGCCTTGAAATAACAGAAGCGAGTGTCTCAACAGATTTCAAGCAACCGACCAGGACCACGTCCACAGAGACGACCACATCAAGGTTGATAACATTTCTTCAGATGTGTGTAGTTAAACAATTTGACTAAAGATGCATGGGTTAGCTATGATTTATTTTACTTACGCCTGTTACCCCCAATGGAGCATAGGCCGCTCACCAGTTTTCTCCAGCCAACTCTGTCCTGGGCTTCCCTCTCCAGTTCTGTCCAATGTTTGTTCATTCCTCTCATATCTTTCTCTATTTCTCGGCGTAATGTGTTCCTTGGCCTTCCTCTTTTCCTTTTGCCTTGAGGGTTCCATGTGAGGGCTTGCCTCGTGACGCAGTTAGGTGCTTTTCGCAGTGTGTGTCCTATCCACTTCCACCGCTTCTTCCTGATTTCCTCCGCCAATGGAATCTGGTTTGTTCTCTCCCACAGTAAATCGTTGTTGATAGTGTCTGGCCAACGAATAAACAATATTTTGCGAACACAACTGTTCATAAATACTTGTATCTTCTGGATGATGCCTTTCGTAGTTCTCCAAGTTTCCGCTCCATACAGTAGAACTGTCTTGACATTTGTATTGAAAATCCTGATTTTGGTTTTGGTTGAAAGTTGTTTGGAGTACCAGATATTTCCCAAATGTAAAAATGCAGCCCTTGCTTTGCCGATTCGCGCCCTCACATCTTCATCGGATCCACCTTGGTTGTCTATGAAGCTGCCAAGATATTTAAAGGTGTTAACGTCCTCCAAAGAATGGATAGACATAAATTGTTTACTACATTCAATCAGTTTTAGAGTTAAACATTTAGAATTATTGTTAAATTAGTAACGAGTGAAACCTTTCTTCTTGAATTAATGATTGCATAACACAAATTAATGACCGATATACAGTGGAAAATAACGTGCATTTAAACCAATATTGATCATAGGGTTTGTTTATAACTTACCAGTTGGACTGAAATTTACTCCTTCATAAAACGTCAGGAATATTGTCTCATTGACGCAATAACTTTGGGTCAGAAAATTATTAGGATGATAATTTTTACAGGATGCTGATCAGTCAGATTTCCGCACTTTTAAAGTTTCTTACATCTGTTTACTATCAGTGTTTGTATTTCCGCTTAATTCAGCTTTTCAATGTGCTTCGAAGTAGGTTTTTGCACAATAAACTAACGTTGAATGAAGATCTATTGAGAAATATCAGGTATCTGAGAGATATTTGTCCAAAATTAGAGATGTCTTAACATTTCACATCTATGGCTATACACAGAATCTTAATTGAAATCTTATAGTCTTGTTATTGGCACCCTACCATTAAACAATCGATTTGGGATTTGATTAGCTAGCTGTACATTACGGAATTTCTTTATTTCATGATATATTAATATGCCATTTGTTACTTTGTTTTCTTGATATGTTGTGACTTGTTTGAGTTCCATCAGTCATATTTCAATGATCAACAGAAATTGTGCCTAATTAATTGTTTTCACTTCAATCTCATCAATATCTCTTAACTTGAAATGAACAATTTCCAAAACCATTTAACCTTATTAACGTTCTGTTTAAACCATTTTCTTCTATATCTTAACTGATATTTTCATGATTTTATATTTGTTTTTCGTATCGTCAGATTATAAACAGTTTGTTGAATGAGAATACACCAATATTTCAAGGTGCCAGATGTACAACAGTCATCTTTATATGAGTGACCATAGTTATTCAATGCAAACGACAAATTGTCAGTGCTGTAACCAACACTACATCAACAGATGGTGTACAAGGCAGTGCAACAGTTGAACTAAAAACATTAACCGGTTCACAAATGAGTCAAGAACACTTTAGTCAATTGTTGACTACTGGTTTTTTATCAAATGAATAAAACATCTAGTGAGTTATTAAATAATTTAGAGTCAACACATAAGTGTCTTCAAATCTTTTTGATAAGTTCATCGTTTTTTTTTGGCTTTTTTCTTGTCATTCATTAGAAAAAATATCTCTTCGAATAATAAGAAAAAAACGTAATTTCTACTACGGTTGAAATGAACAACCATAAATGATGAGATTTTCCAGGAATCGATGAGTCGATTCATTATTATGTTACTGGATCACTGATGTTAGGGTTTTTTTCAATTTTACAGCCGATGAAAATTATGTATGTAGTAACATTATTCATTAGCTAATAATATTAAATTCAACTAATCCATTCAATAATGTTAGTGCGTATCTCATATGAGTGAGCCAAACTCAATATGAAGTTGAAGTTTGATCAAGCATTTCAAGTCAGACAAATAGCCTAGACATGGAATAAGTGAATTAGGAATGAACACACACACACACACTCGAATAAAAATAACCAAAGATGTCGAAAGGACAGAAAATATTGATTAGTTTGTCCAAAAGTTGGGACA